ATAAAAGATAAACAATAAATATTATTTAAATAATTGATTATAGTTTTATTTTATAAAAAACTTTTGAGGGGAATTTGTGGGGAATCAGCGGATTTTTATTCCCCAATTTGGGGAATTCGATCAGGAATTTTGGGGATTTTGATGAATTAGCTTTGGCAACCCTGCTCGTTCGTTCGTCTTCGTTGTACATGTACAATTTATAATCTGTGGCGTATTTGAGTGTTTTGTTTGTTATCAAACATTTTGCTCCGAAAAGTGGATAAAATAAAAAGTCCACTAAACTTGAACTGTTCAAGTAAAAATAGTACACAGTTAAACGAATAACTGTAATATTATTGAAGTTTACACTGGCTATAAGTGTTTCCCATTTTGAGGTTATAATCTTAGTTTTGTGAATCAAGCTAAAAGTATTATACAAAAATGGTTTGTGAGAAATGTGAGAAGAAATTGGGCCGTGTAATCACACCGGACCCTTGGAAGTCTGGAGCCAGGAACACCGTGGAATCCGGAGGAAGAAAAGTCGGTGAAAATAAAGCCCTAACTGCAAAGAAAGGGCGATTCAATCCTTATACTAGCAAATTTCAAGAATGCAGGCAAGTTTTTATCCTATTCTTTTTATTATAATGCCCTTTTTTCTTTCTCCTATAAAATTATAACGATAAAATCTCCGCAAATTATGTAAAATACTAAATGTTTATTTTATTTTTAACAATTGGGGTTTTTTACGCTTGTTATTTAATGTGGTATTAGTTAGTTATAGTATTTTATTTATTTCACACTTCTAAACTTAAATTTTAGATAGTTCATTATAATATTCTTAGCAAGTCTTGACCTTAGACCTTAAACTTTTAGTACCTAGTTCAACATTCTTATAGCATTGCTTGAGAGCAGTGAAAAACATTATTTTGATACTTATACATTTTTTTTTCAATTGATGAAAATGATAACCGATACTTATGGGCCAAGATCATAGTGAAACATATTTTGTTAACTAGGAATATACCAAAAAAATTCAACCAGTCATTTTAACCCAATTTCATCTACTTTCAATTCTTCTTTCAACCGCTCAACTCAACCAAAATTCTCACCAAATAAATTAACAATCACAATTTTGTAACTGCTAGAAACAGACTGGTCATACTAACAGATATTGTTTTTTTTACAGGATCTGCAGAACAAAAGTACACCAAGTTGGCTCACATTACTGCCAAGCCTGTGCCTACAAGAAAGGAATATGTGCTATGTGCGGCAAAAAAATATTAGACACCAAAAACTATAGACAAAGTTCTACATAGAATCTTTTTTTAGTTAAAATAGGTTTTTAATGAAGATAGAATGTGAATATTTGAAATGTTTTTTTCTTATTTGATAATCTATGTACAATAGCCAGTGGGTCAACCTGATGCTACTTTTTTATTGTAGTTTTGACTTTACTTCAAAAGTATAAAGTTGAAAATTGAACAAAAATGTTTGTAGCACTACAGTACTTGTGAATTCATATTACTCATTTATTGTAATAATTACCTGTGAATTTTGATGTACTTACCAATCAAACAGTGAACTGTCAGTTGAAAGGTTTATCCTTTACAGTAAAGGGCTATACCTAGTTTGGTAGTAATTAAAATGATTTATTTGGGAATTTATAATTTAATGTATGAGCAAATGTATTTTAGGGGCTTATAGCTATGTATTAAATGTAAAAGATTATTGTATCATAATTGATATTAACTGTCTGTAAACTAACTATGTATTTGGAAAAAAATAATGTTTACAGTTTAGTTGAAAATAAATTATGTTTGATAATAAAGTCGAATGTAGTTTCTTAATTTGTTAATTTCTTAATTGATAAGATTTTGTAAAATATTGTAAATATCTAAATCTTAAAGATTTAACCAGATTATTAAACATTGAATAAAATGTTTCTGTAATTGTTATATTTCTTGTACATAATAATGTATGTATGATATTTTTAAGGCATTAGTTTTAATAAACTTGAAAAAATTAAATCTTTGAATTTCATTTTTATACATAATCTAGTTAAGCTTTGTGACAATTTTTACTTTAACCTCCTATCCTCTTATATGAAACACATGACTGCCTCGTTGGCCGAGTGGTCGCAAGTGCGACTGCTGGGCAAGGGGTCTCGGGTTCGATTCCCAAGTCGGGCAAAGTATTACCGGGTTTTTAAAATTCTGAGTAGTAGCACGGAGTCTGGAATTATGCCCGGTATATGGCAATAGGCTCACCCCCTATTACATGGGACTCATAACATACTTAAATAGTGTAAAGTGGGTGTTACATTTAACAGTGGCATTAAGTGCCGTAATGTGCACCTCTGCCTACCCCTTTGGGGATAAAAGGCGTGATGTTATGTATGTAAATTATGGAAGGAAATAATAATTGAATATTTTAAGTACCTAAGTATGTTTTACGATAGTTTTACAAACAAGTCAATTATACGAAACATATTTTCGGGCCGAAAACAAAATTAACGACATAGGTCTACTTAGTCCTTTGTCGCAATGTGAGTTGCTTACTACAATATTATGTAGTTGTATATTTTGAAATGTTATTTCGTTATTTTGTAGTTAGTTGTGTTGTGATCCTGTGTTATTTTAAGGTGTGATGTGTTTTTAAATATTTTCTATCTAGAACTACACTAAAATATTGGTAATTCGGTCTCTGAAAAGGTAGAAAAAGCACGTGATTGTTAATTAATGTTCCTTCAATCTTTGTCACGAACGATAATTTCGGAAATCTAAAATACATACATACTTACATAACTGTACGCCTGTGTCCCATGGGGGCAGAGACTAAGGAACGCCAATTACTACGATTCTTACATACCTCTCTCGCTTCATTAACAGTTATCAATCTTTTCATGAAATAGAAAGGAAATCTAAAATCCATTCTAATTAATTTCGAATTTAAATTCTAATCTAAATTGCATTGTCTAAAAGATGTCGCGGAGAACCTAACGAGTTACCGGGGCTCCGGCTCGAAGTGCAGAAGAAATAACAGGGTGGTTTTTAGTCAGTAAGAGTCTGACACTCCCTCCCGCCTCACCCAAGCGGGAGCAATAATTCGATGATATTCCCCCCTTAAAAAAAATTGTCTAAAAGATCTCTGACCGATATACCTAATCTTGCATAATACTCATAAAATACTTAGGTACCTAACGAGACTGTCATAGCGTGTTCAGATTCGCCTAAACCTCAAAAAAGAATATAAAGAACTCATAACATAGGTACCAAATGGCGAAAAAGTTGTGTTACATTTTGTACTCTGCCTTACCTTACTTCTTTAAAAATGGCCAAGGTTCAGAAACCTACCTAATATTACCTACATTAATTAAAAATAAGGAAAGGAATAACCTGCCCTCTTCAGGTGATACAAAACTAAGATGAACCTTCTGAGAAAGCATTTTCCCCATAAGTGACTTAGAAGTAAAGTGGAGCGACATAGTAAAATTTATACTAGATTTCACATCAGCAGATTGGAAATACAAATGAATTCAAGAGAAAGTCGTACAAACGCAGCAACGATGATAATGTTCAGAACCCGTTTATAAAACTTTTAAATAATATTGTAAAAGTGAACGAGGAACGTATTGAAGCCATGAAGAAAATGATACATTTACAAGACTACATACTGACAAAGAATAGACTGAAAAATTATGAAGATTTCTACGATTCATCTGAAGATGAAGTTAACAGGATATTACGGGTACGGGGATTATCTGTGAGTATTTTTTACTATATATTTTTTTATGGTATAAACCGGTAAACGAGCAGACGGATCACTTGATGATAAGCAATCGGCGGAGCCCATGGACACCCGCAGCACCAAAGGTTGCAGGGATTGCTATAAGTGCGTTATCGGGTTTTGGGGGATTTAAGGATGGGGGGATTCGTGAACTCACACACACGGAGAAACCGGTAATCGAACTCAAAAGAAAGAGGCTTTAATCGTCATTCTCCTTGCGACAGTTGAAACCACTCGGCCACAAAGGTAGTTATAAAATAATACCAATTGATTTATGTATTACTAATTTATTGATATATTATTATTACAGAAAAGACTCCTATTTCGTGGAGACAAATTGAGAGCTATTTGATTGGACCTCCGGTAACCTCACACGGCAGAATCTTGCAAGCGTTGTTTCACGCCAGTGTTCTGTGAGGCCGTGGTGTCACTCGAGCGGGCCCATTCGTATCGAAGCATGGCTCTCTTGAACTAACTTTATCCTTACTTAATATTATAAATCGGAAAGTTTTGTTTGTTTGTTTGTTCCGCTTTCACGCTTTAACTACTAAATCGATTGCTTTGAATTTTTGCAGACGTAAAGTTAGAAGTCCGGATTAAATAATATCTAGGTTACTTTTTATTCCGGAAAAATTTGATATTTCCGAGGGAAAACAAAAGTATTGGTATAGATGGCGCTGTGTGTATGGGTATATTATTATGTCACAGGGTACTTTTTATCCTTTTGTGACGCGAGCGAAGCCGCGAGTAAAAGCTAGTTTTAAATAAATTATTAGGCTAGTAGAATATTAAATCAACAACCAGTAGCTAATAAATTAAATAGTAATAAGATTTTACTCCGTATAATTTCAATTCTTTGTTAATCGAAATCAATGAATGGAAGTGTTCAGTTTGTATAACACGTGTTGGTTACATTGTCGGTGCTTCGATTCGTATGTTAAAAGTTGACGTACACCTAATTTTACGTAAGTCATTACAATCAATCTAAAAGTCATAATCTATCCGTTAATATTAACAAAGAAACAATAGGTACCTACACGAGTTTGCCACGAAACGAACTCTACAAACAAATACATACCAACAAATTAACTAAAAACACGAAGAAATCAAATTACTGATTATATTTCTCATTAAAAATGCAACTTTATGTTTGTCTCAACAATCTAATCAAATTCTCTACGGTTGACAACATGTCCAATCGACAGGCAAAGTTGCAAAGAAAATGTTTTAGCTAAATGAAAATATTTAGACATTTTGATTTTACTTGTACGATGTTACCGCGTTTGCCCTGCTATGTAGTGATTGTCACATTAATTTGGGGTGTAAGTATGTATCATTTTATTGTACTATATTTTAGTGTTTTTAATAACTATTAACCTCTCGCGCGTTCTCGTACACACGTGTAAATATTTTAATAGAAAAGCGAATTAACTATTCTGTTCAATCAAATAAAGAACGGGTTGCAAACTTGAAAATATACGTCAGAGAAAAAATATCCAATCGGTGCGCGTACACCCGTGTGTACAATTGCGCGATGGGTACTCAACTCTCTCGTACACCCGTGTGTACAATTGCGCGATGGGCACTCAACTCTCTCGTTCACCCGTATATACGAGAAACACGCGAGAAGTTAACTATCGGGATTGGTATTAGAGGGAGTCATACTAAATTAACTAAAAATAACGACTTAGTCGCGTAAATACTCGTATGTACTTCCGCGACCGCGCACGCTGCTCATGAGGAAAGAGTCTTTTATGACTCGAAACTATATAGTTAGATATTTACGTGAGTAAACCGATATTTTTAGTTAATATTTTAGTTTAATATTTACTCCTTAATGGTTGATCATAACAATTATTATATGTCGTATGTTATTGTTCATCAAGCCGATATTTTTTAAGTTTTGAATCTAGTGCTGGATTTAATGCCAATAAAATGTATTCCTTCAGTGATTTGTGGACAATTGGAATATCGAATGCCCCGTGGGAACAGCCAACAGCGCTAGAGTTGCCCTTTAGTGTAGTGATGTCATTTTGTAACCGTCAAATGTCTTCTCCTTTGTTATAAGTAATTGTAATTGAGAAAAACATCATGATTGATTACAATTTTGTGAATCCCAAATGCATACAAAAATTCATTAACTATTACACTCAGAATTTCAGTACACACACATGCACACGTACAAAAATATAATCGAATGATTCCAGATATGTGTAATTCAGCAAATCCAACAGGTAACAGCGGAAAATGAACAGCAAATTCCAGATTTGTTCAAGAGCAACTTGACAAGGAATGAATTCTCGAACCTTCTACAATCATTGATCAAGCTGAATGAGGGGAGGGTCAATGTACTGAAAAAAATATCTAACTTAGAGGACTACCGACTGCTAAACGAGGTCCTTAGATCTGGGGACCATAAACCGAGCGAGAATAAGGACTTCAAAAATTTGTACCTCATCATCTTATCGAAAGTAAGTTTCTGAAGGTGTTTTTCGCAGTAGCTATAGGTTTGCCAAGTATCCATTAGTTTGCTTCGTAGTATTGTTGAATCTATCTTTGGTTTTTTTTAATCTGGATTGTAATGCTTTTCATCTTGTCTTTAGCAACCGAAGAGGAAGTAGCAGTCAACGAAGGATGTCAGTGCAATGAATTTACCTCGATTGTAATCTGTTGATTGATTAAAGATAACTGTATTAACTTAGTTTTCTTTCCCTCTCGGCTCTCCTATTAGTCCCTTCTTCCTAAACTGGCGTACCTTCAGCTTGTAATTGGTATTAAAGCACTAATAATTAATTAATAGGCAAAATCATTTAAGAATTAATCTTTCATTAGTAGTTCGTTTATTAACCGAGTGATTACAAAAACAGTGCTCCAACATAAAACACAGGTGTCGCGGAGAACCTAACGGGTTACCGGGGCTCCGGCTCAAAGTGCAGGAGAACGGGGTGGTTTTTAGTCAGTAAGAGTCTGACACTCCCTTCCGCCTCATCCAGGCGGGAGATGTCATTCGATGATTTTCCCCCCTTAAAAAAAACATAAAACACAGGTAAAATTTATATTCGTAAAATTCTGTAGAAACTTTTCAGTTGCAGGTCTTTTTACATTTTAAAGTAGGTTTTATTTTTCAGAACGAATCGAACCCTACCCGAAGAAATATGGGGGAACAAGTTGTGAAACTATTTCCATCACTCACCACCGCAAATAAATTGCGAAAACGTTCTATTGTTTCAACTCTTGTACCAGTTTCAAATCCGATTCGTGAGCCGCCCGACATAGAACCACAAAAAGCGTTAAATATCGCAAGAATGGCCAAAATGAATCTTAGAGCTAGAAACAGATACAAAATAGACGATGGAAGTCACTTATTCTCGACCTTAGAACCTTCCCATAACTTACAAGTTGAATTGCTTGATACTAAACGATTAATTTCATCTGAAGAAGAAACAGAAGAAAATCATTCAACATCACAACCACCTAGAGTTAATATAAAGGTCAACAAGCAAGATAAAAAAGCTCAAGGTCGGTTTGAAATTATTACAAACACAAACACAAATGATTATCATGGCGGGACAAGCATTAGTTCTTTTGAATCTAAAGAAAAATCCAACGACTATAAAGATATAGACCTAACATTGGAAAATGATCGAAACACTAAATTAATGAAAATACAAGACAAATTTTCTAACCACAAAGTTGATAAACCAATAAAGTCAGAAAAAGAAATTGACAGTGTTAAAGGATCAGATAATGATGGCAGCAAAAAGGGATCTGAAAGTAGTGAAGAGACAAACAATAAATCGGTCTCAATCGAAACTTATGGCGAAGAAAAGAAAGAAAAAGAAAAAACAAGTAGAGACTATCCAGAACATAATAATCAGAAAATAAAAAATAACCAAAGCAAAAAATATAAATTAAGTATAAACAATGAGAATACTCGTGAAAAGCCGCATTACAGTAATCAAAGTCCGCCAGCATCCAGAGATAATTCAGATGAATATAGTAACAACAATAAAAAACCTAAAATTATGGTAGGAGATTCAAATGAAAGAGATTATGGTAAACTAAATTTAAAAAAAGAAGCGTCGGTCAAAGTTGAGCAGCCTTATAGACGCCCAAAACTAATTAAAACGTATCCAGTCGATCACGACCGTAGAATACATGTCGAAGATATTAAGTCGAAGGAAAATGATATGCCAAATAAAGCATCAAAAGTTCATTCAGATCGTTTCAGCGATGATGATCACAGAATAAGTCACGAAGAAAAGTCTTATGAAAAAGATAATAAAGAACACAAAGATAAATCTGAACACTCTAATGAAAAGTCTGGCCATCGAATAAATTTTAACTCAAAGGAGCACAAGTCTAGTGAAGAAGATGAGGCAAAAAAACATAAGAAGTATTCCAAAGAAGACGAAGACAAATCTAATGCCAATTCACATAAATCTAATGAAAAACATAGCAATAAACCGCCTAGAATGACCTCCGATCACTTTAGTGACGATGATCATCGAATGAGTGATAAGTCATTTGAATATGACTTAGACAATAAACATGACTTAGACAGTAAACATCGCAAAACAAGTTCAAACCACAATGACAACGATCATAGAATTAGTCTTGATGATTTTACAAAGACCCAAATCAATAAGCACAAAACCATTGTGAGACATTCCAATGAAAACGACCATCGACCTAATCAAGGTGACAAGTCACATGAAAAACAGCCAACTAACAAAAATAAAAGCAATTCAAAGTACTCAAATGAAATGAATAAATCGTATGAAAAAGAAGATAAAAACCACACACCAAGAGATATAAAACAACCTTTAAAAGAGACAAATGAACAAGCGCATAAGGTAGCTTCAAATGAAAATAAATACAAAAAGAAAGTTATGGATAGCAAAATCGCTAAAACAACTCCCAAATACATTAAAGATTCAATTGATCATAAACCAAAAAATAATGTTAGGAATGATCAATCCAATGAAGATGAAGGTTACAAATCGCATAAAGATGATGTCAAACATTCTGAGGAAAACGACCACAAAATAAATGACAGCAAAAGTCAAGAAAAGAAAAATGAAAACGATTATAAAAACACTAAAATAAATAAAGATGAGTCAAAAGAGATTGAACCGCATGGCATGTCGTATTCAAAACCTTCAAAAGATGCGCATTTATCTAAAGAGGACCGTAAATTCCCTTCACCAGGTTCAAGTTTGTCCCATGAAACACCTAACAGAAATGGATATAATAAGATCAACAAAGATCTCCCTAACAAAAGTGACTATCAACAACCAAAAGACCTCAGTGCTCATACTGACGACGACATAATATCAAAACCAAAACATCCCTCCTTCGAAGATGATCACGGAGAAAAACAATCTGAAGCAGGTAAAGACTATGGAGGTGATGATTATCGGAGCACGGAGGAATCTGGAAAAATCCCTAATACTCGAGTAGTTATGAAAGATAAACCACAAGAAGTAAAACATTCTAAGCCCCCTTCAGCAGAAGTCGATGAATACGACCAACCGGGTGCGAAGCCTCAAGAATCGAGAAAGAATTTTGTAAAATGTCTAAGTAAAAAAGCGTTAAAATTATGCATAAAATCATGTAACAGCGCTTACAAAAATGTTTGTCGAAAAATGAAATGTACTTCAAGATCGAAAAAAGCACTAAAAAGGGAATGCAAACGAAGTTGTAAAAAGACATTTGCGTCAAGTAAATCAAGTAAATATAGTGATGATAGCGGCAGCGAGTAACTGTTTTGTATTTAAAGTAGACAAAATACATAATAATTAACTAAATCTATCTTAGTCGAGTATCCTACGAGGTAATCAATAATCTAAATACGAGACTAAACAAGAATGAGCTAACTCTAATGCTAATTTCGGTGCTACTAGTCCTTTAGAGGCTCCTAAATTCTAGCACTAATTTTGAGGTTGATACCTCTTAACTTTCAAAATAATATGTCCAATGTCCTGTCTTGTCTATCATACTTATGTTTATTATTACATCTCTAGAAATATTTATTAAAAAAAATGTTTTTGGTCATGAATCAAAAGTAGAAAAATAATATATTCTCATAAGAAAAAATTAAAAGAAGAATGATAATTTTAATTTTAATTGCTCCCTACCTTCGATCAACAATAACAACTAGATATCGGGTCGGCGCAAGAAAATCGTCTCGACAAATAAGAGCTCACTTGAGAAGTGAGCTCTTATTTTGTTTAGTATGCTCCAAACATGGCCAACGTAATCACGTCTCGCGATGCTGCAGTGCGTAATTGCAAGTTGCAAAAATAATAACCGAAAAAGCAGTGTAACGGCCGGAGTGTCCTACTTTTGACAAGTACATAAAGTATAAGTTATATTTTAAGCTTTTAAATTAGTAAATAATATCAAATTAGACAAAATTACCAATTATAAACCATCGCCACCAATGTTTGTGCGTGTGTTGGCGATCCCTTGGCCAAGCCTCGCCAACACGCGCACAAACATTAGTTTTAACAGAACAGTGGATGCATGGAGTCCATTTGTATTGTAAAACAAATTTTTATTGTAACCTGATTGGAAAAGAGTACCTAACCTTTGGAGTTTCTTGCTCTTTCTTCTCCATAGGAATCTACACCTTGGAATGAGCAAATAGCTTCACTTTTAAATTTATATTGTTGACGTTCAAAAGTGCTTTCTTGGTCTAACTGAAATAAATGATTTTGCTAAGACTTTTAATCACAAGGTAAATAAACATATGATACACAAAAACGTACCGCTAATAAAAATAAGTGATGTATACTAAGATCCCGAAAATAAAATTATTTTAGTGTTTAACGCGACTCCATACATACCTCCTGTAGCGAAATTCAAAATTCGAAGAAGCAAAACGAAACAAAACAAAACGATATAGATCACAAGGCTATAACGGAAAAATTATCTTTATTTGTTCTAGCTTAAGGTTAAATTCAAACTAGATATTGTATAACTTATGTCATTTAATTTCTACATGACAGGAGTAAGAAAATGCTTTTCTTGTCTTATGTGACGAATGGTCGTAAGTATTAGATAATACTTTGACGATTTATGATTTTATTATTAGGTGCCATGGTTGTTATTAGGTTGAACTTAAAACCATTTTAAAACATTTTTCTCAGTTTGTTATTTTTTTACTATTATTATTCACACGGACAGAACTGGAGCTTGATTTTGTACGTAACCCTTTATCTAGTTGCTATTGTTGATCGAAGCTCCCTACAATTAATTTAATTTGAAGTGATTTAAAACAATAATGATATAGAAAATCATAGAATTATTACTTTTATAATGTTTAAATCATATCGATTTTAAAGTCGAATGATTTTTTTACTACTCTACTGTACCTATACCTGTCGTGGAGAACCTAACGGGTAACCGGGGCTCCGATTCGACGCGCAGCAGAAGGAACGGGGTGGTTTTTAGTCAGTAAGAGTGACACTCCCTCCCGCCTCGGAGCAGTCATTCGATGATTTTTCCCCCTTAAAAAAACTGTACCTATACCTATACGGTATAAGTAATAGGTACGTAATACTTATGTATAATACAAATAAAAAAATATTTTTAAAAACACACGCATGCAGAGATGATAGTCGCAAAAAAATGTCGAAACTTCACAAGTTTTTTCTAAAACTGTGACAAATGTTCAAAAGTAAGCCCGGTGTTAAGTTAAATACGAATCTAAAAATTCAGTGATTTTATATTTTCTATTTAAAATTAAATAGCGGAACGGTTAGTTTAGTAAAGTTTTAACAATCAGTACGAAATGTTCGTAACTAAAACATCGTAAAGCCAATCACTTGTAGAAAATTTAATTTGAATTTAAATTGTTGTCGACCATTATGTTTCTCGGTTCGTCATCTTTGAGATGATTCTGTTAGCGACGATAGTAACAATATTGTTTGTTGTAAGTAAAAATTTGTTTTTAAACTATAATTTATTAAAAAAACCTTTCCAAAATTCGAGCCTTGTGATTTTATTCAAAACTTTAACTTTGACATTTACTAAAAATTGAAAATTTGTAATCTTTAACTATGTTTTCATTTAAATTCCAGGGTGACTTAGATGCCTTAAATATATTTAAAAATTACCAAACAATTTCCAATTACAAGGACAATGATCTTGCTGTCTACAAAAATAGCGAAGCGATAGCAGACTCCTATGAGCTACTGGGCTTAATCATTTTAGATGTAAGACCATTTCTATCAATATTTTAAGGTATAAATAAGAAAGAATGTGGGACTAACCAATATCATAGACACACTATTCATCATTGACAATGATAAAAAGCCAATTTTTTTTTATGGCATAAGCCGGTAATCGAGCAGGCAGATCACCTGATGGTAAGCAATCGGCGTCGCCCATGGACACCTGGAACACCAGAGGCGTTACAAATGCGTGACTGACCTTTTGGGGATTAGGAGTTTGAAGATCGTTGGGGATTGGGGAGATTGGGGAAGGGGAGGGTAATTGGGCCTCCGGCAACCTCACTCATACGACGATACACAACGCAAGCGTTGCTTCACGTCGGTTTTCTGTGCCGTGGTATCACTCCGGTCGAGCCGGCCTATTCGTGCCGAAGCATGGATCTCCCACACTTAAATTAAAATGTGGAAATTAAATAGAAAATTAAGACATAATATGTAGAAAATTGTCAATCCCGTTCTATGGGGGCTACTGTAATTTTGCTAACCAGATACCACTGTGGACCTCTCGTTCTTTGTCCAATTGGGAATCAACCATAGGACGTTCAATTTTTGACAGCTACAGTGATTGGACAAAACGAGTTCATGCTAGATTAGCCCCATTTGGTGAGCATAAAAATGGCAGCCTCCATTTTGTTAATAAATGTCTAAGCGCATTAATTGCCTATCTAGATCTCGATAATGAAGAAAAATATTAAAGTGACCTTCTAATTTGAGAATCTATTATTGTAAATTCGTAATGTTTAGCGATACTAAACTACCTATGAGCTCAATGGCAATAGTGCCAGCGACGAATTAAAAGTTAAATTATCTAATACTGTCAATGAATTCGTATCTTTGACGCGTTGCACTTAAGTTTACAATTCCTTGAATTTATCTCTCGCATGTATGTTTCGGGATTGTCCGATTGTATTCAAAATTTGACATAAACTTAGTCCTCAAAAAGTTGAATATCATGATGAACGACGAAAAATGCTATAAAAACATGGATCTTGAAAGCAATAGCAATCTCTTAATTAGGAGAAGTGCATCCATAACAACTTCAAGATAACTGGGTGTCAACGGCAGATATCCGATGCAAGCTAGAAGAAAAATAATGCCAACTCCATCATAGAAGAAATTACATGCATTATTAGAAGATTCACGATGACATCAATGTATTCTTGTTTTAATGTCAATTTGATTCGATCTTTACCGTGAGTTAAACTTAAGAAACTATTCAGGCAATCCCAAAACAAACAAGTGAGTAAAATTATCATGTATAATGCTTAGAGCAATATTACTGAAATATAAATGAAAGTGCTATAATATAAATTTCATACTTTCAGTACAATCCAATAAGTAGGAGAGATAATGATGTCGCCGCTAAAACCAACTTGACGAAAACTGAATCCGGGGAATATGAAAAGTACGAAGATAATGGGAATGAAATAGAACCGAGAAGTAAACGTAGACGCAAGAAGAAACGATATGTTAATAGTAACGACAACGCCAAACAAAAAAATGAAAATAAACAGACATTGAAAATACTGGGCGACAGAAAAGTAAGAATAGTAGAACAGAAATTAATCGAATTAATTAAAGAAAAACTAAAGAAGCCCCTGAATAGTGAAGCAAAGAGGAAAATTCAAATGTTTAATGAAGTTCAAGGTCGAAATAAACAAAATTCAGGAGATAAATTATCATCAAGTAAGTCCAAAATCAAGGAAATTAATAAACTGAATAAAGACGGAGTGAAATCCAAAATACGTCTTGACGACTCTAAGAAAGAATCTCCAAAAGAGAGTGTAATAGAGAAAAACTTCAAAAAAACTGAAAGGTATTATAATAATGAAAATACGGAGCATTTAAGAAAACAAAAGAAAGAAGATAAGCACAAATATTTTAATGTAGATACAAAAGAAAGATCAGAAGAACGTCCCAGACAAGAAAAAAGAAAAGGTAAGAAGCAAAAGAAAGTAGAAACATCAAGTGAAGCGGAAATTCTATCTAAACCGAAGCGTTTCGATGTTGTCGGAAAAGGTCGTAGTAATGAATTCGATAGGAATGTGAAACTTAAAAAAAAGCCCCACCAATCTAAAGATGGAACTGAAGAGGAAGAAGGGAAAGCACGCGGTGGTAAAAATAAAAATGAATGTATTAATGAATCGCAAACGAACATTGACAAATGTGTGCGAGCTTGCCAGAGAACCCATGAAGACGTGTGTGACCTCCTAACTTGCTCACAAAAATCATTAAAGGCTTTACGTATTGAATGTAGTGTTAGTTGCAAAAAAGTATTCCCCATTTTATGTTAATAATTTCATAAATACAGTCTTTGTTGTTAATAGCAATAAAATTTTACTTACAATCTGTTTATTATTTATCTTTTTCGTCAAATAATTTTCGAATCGTCTAAAATCTTAAGAAAAAACTGTGAATTAGCTAAAAAGGTTACTGCATTACTATGAATATTACAACAAACCTCTAAAGTCTGCTTCGGGTCTACAGGTCTCCTCTACCTCAGTAAAGCAGACTCGACCCGAAGCAGACTCTCATAAGCTGTTGGAGATAATAACATTCAGCCACAACATAAAAAGTACATAATTGAATAAAATATCAATTTACAGCATGATCCAATCACAAGAAGAAATATAGACATGCCAGAGTCCGGTAATGCGACATACGTTAAAGATGAAGGTGAAGATGATTTAGATTTAGAAGGCGATGATGCAGAACTGCGTGCTCGTGGTGGCAGCCGAAAGAAGAAACATCGGGATATAGACTTATCAGAAAAGAAAGAAGAACTGGCTTCCAAAGCTTTGAGACTTCGAGAAGGAGACACAGACAGCGGTAACACTAAAATATTAAGAAGTGAATGCATATCAGCCACTAGAAAAGAAATGGATAAATGTACGAGGGCCTGTAACAGGGCTCATGAAGACGTCTGTGATAAGTTAAGCTGCTCCATTCGATCTCAAAAAGCTCTCCGCAAAGAATGTGGATTTAATTGTAAAAAGGTTTTTGACCTTAAAGTTTGTTATTAAACATTTACTCCGTGTTGTGTTCTACTGATTTCACTTTGAAAATCAAGTTTTTAATAAGACTTAGCGTCGAAGGACACTATTACAGATCAGTCAATTAAGCAATACTTCATATACAATCTGAATAAGGCACTGAGGAAGGGTAAAGTATTTCTAATTAAGACTTCATGTGTAATAAAAATCTGAGATGTTTATATTATTCTGTGGTAGGTACAACCTACTAGAGTCTCCTTGCTATATTCAAATAAGAGGACTCCTTGTCACGAAAGAACCAAAATGTTATAACTAGATAAATTCACCAAGCAGCTATTTTCTAAGGCCTAGTTCGATGTGTATCAAACAAGATTTACATTCTTATTGACAGTAAACAAGTAGGTAAGTAGTGTTAGTAGATAATGACGTAATATTTAATAATCATAAAACTAAAGATTAATAATATCTATACAAAAATAGAAGTTTTTTCAACAAATAGTTCACCATGATCTACAATGCTGCATGACGAAAACTATACAGGATATCATTTGCATGTTAAAACAATAAAAAACAAATTGGAACCTATAAACACATGAAATAAAGTTGTAAATAAATTTCCTTCACGTGAACCACACATGGATCATGAAAGTCGTCGTTATTGTAGTCCTGAATATTTTGGTAAGTAGTTTCTACACCATGTAGGTAATTTATTTAGTTTTTGACCCGTAGTAAAATGGCTGTCTTGGTAATACAATAGTTTTACAAAGAAATAAAATGGTTAAAACAAAAAATGACTAGTGAACCATTGCAAAAAGCAAACTTCGAAAGTGCATACGAACTCATAGTTAGTGCATTATCAAAACATCACGGCGTGTAATGATGTATGATGATATGATTAATGTAATATGTGTTCTCGAAGAGGTATTTCTCGACGATTGGCACTTGTGATGCAAATAATGCTAACAAGGTTACATTTAGTTGTCATGGGCATAAGTCGATGAATATTTATTTCGAGGCATTACAAGTGCGTTACCGGCCTTTTAGGGATTAGAAATTTGAGGATTGTTGGAGATTCAGGGATTGGGTGTAGTAGTAATTGGGCCTCCGGTAACCTCACTCACACGATGAAACACAAGTCAAGCGTTGTTTCATGTCGGTTTTCTGTGAGGCCGTGGTATCACTCCGGTGGAGCCGGCCCATTCGTGCCGAAGCATGACTCTCCCACACTTCAAATGTAGAAGAGGTCCATACTTCAGCAATGGATGGTTATCACAGGATCTGTGTCACATCCGCATATTATTTTCCTTCAAAATTGTTCACCAAAATTACTGAATCCTACTGTTAGTTTGTATTCATAAATTTCAAAATGTACCTAAAAGAAAAGAGCAGCGGCATAATTCATTAGAATTATCATTCCTTGGAAATGGTAAGTACCGAAGATCGCTTAAAATTAAACCTTTTGAGCGATAACCAGAAAGTAAGAAAAATATTTATTTAATTCCTAAAAATTCTTCTGTCTTAATTACATTAGTTTAGACCTTATTGCAGTTTAATCAAAACCAAACATCGTTCAAGGTCTTCCCTTAACCTTCCAGATCGCAATAGAAGCGAAGCACAAGTCGACAAGTTCTGATGTATCCAGTGGGGACAGTAAACAGGACTTGACTGCAGAAGACAGCTCCATAGGAGGCTCCGACTACCACGATGACGATACACATATACAGAGACACGGTACGAAAGTAGAAAGAGTACATTTCGAATCAAGACGTTGGCACAAAGGTTGTATAAAGAAAGCAAGTAAAATGTGCACAAAAGCATGCGAAAGGGCATACAAGACTGTTTGTAAAAGACGTAAGTGCTCCAAAAGATCCAAAAAAACACTCAAAAAAGAATGCAAGAAAAGTTGTGCTAAGAATTTTGAATCTGATAGAAATAGACTATATGAGGAGTAGGGTACAAACGTTTGTTAACTTTATTCTAGAATAGGTGGTGAATAAATTAAAAGATTATTGAATGTGTCTTGATTGTCTCCCACATTTATTTAAAGTAAGAACTGCTGTGTGGCATACTGATTTATTCATATCCTCATGTATATGATACTGAGATTTTCAAATATTGCAAATTACTCAGTGACAAATATATCTGTGAAGTGAATATAGTCTGGGTATTAAGTAGTAGATTCACCTACACAAAATTGTACATATACATCACACACTAAATCACTGTAGGTACTAATTATATAAGTATTTGAAGATACCTATGAAGCTAGATGTAGATAGGTCTTAACAATAAACGCAAAAATCTTCGAGGAACTAGTTAATCATCAGGCAGGACTTCAAATCTCTTCAATTCTGACACAGCACATTTCGCCGAAGTCTTGTTAGCTCTGGTCAATGTCCATGTGTGTTGTTTTGGTTGAAAACGCTTTCTGTGAACCAAATCTTGTGTCAAAGTCTCTGGAAAAAGAGATTACTATAAATGAACTTTACGTAAAACTCACTCAAAGTCACTTAAGGGGCCAGTAGAGTAGAACTAACGCAAGGTTTGTCATGCACATGCTGAACTGGTCCCATTACACCGCAGACTTGGGGCATGAATGTCCAATTTTACCTACCTACCTACCTACTAATAAACTAACACTATAATCTGTATCAGTCACTTGTTTTGTAGCGTTTGAAATAAAGGTTCTTTTATTAAAAAAAAAATGCTAGCTATAAACTAGTACGGACTGAGATATCTATGAACTATATTTTCTAACACCGAAATTTTCGGCAATATTTGCTGTCTCAGAAAAGATTTCTATTAGCCATATTTTCTGCATCTTCGTCTTTCTCCAATATAATATGGCATCAAAACCCAGTATTACTTGATGATTGATTTGACTTTCATGCAATTTTATTAAAGTAATTCTGCAACGCAATCTTAGTTTTAATTGAAACTCCAATGAGGATGACTATGTTTGGTTAATTTTAATTATTTTAGTTATTGCCATGGACATATTCGTGAGTGCTGTCGCTTTGTTCTTCTATGGCGTAAGTATTTGAATGTCATTGTAATTAATATCTACAGTTTTCCTTGAAACCAATGATAATGTAGAGAAATATGGATTAATAATATGAAATTACTTAAGTGTGGGAGAGCCATGCTGCACGAATGGACCGGCTCGACCGGAGTGATGCCACAGCCTCACAGAAAACCGACGTGAATCAATGCTTGCTTTGTGTTTCGTCGTGTGAGTGAGGTTACCGCAGGCTCAATTACCCCCCTCCCCAGTCTTCCCAATCCTCAAATCCCCCACAATCATCAAATACCCAATTCCCAAAAGGCCGGTAACGCACTTGTAACGCCTCTGGTGTTTCAGGTGTCCATGGCCGGTGCCGATTGCTTACCATCAGGTGATTCGTCTGCTTGTTTACCGGCTTATCCCATAAAAAAATGATTCATGATTATTATCTTTTTCTTTTCCGTTCCGTTTCTATATTGATATTCCAGGCAATAACACAAGCACAGGAGATTTTAAGGGCAGGCAACGATTTCTCCGTCTCCATTCCAACCAATCGCTCTGAGAGAAACGATTCCAGAGTACTGGCCCTGCTCATTTTAGAAGTAAGTGCTTTATAAGTACTATGGTTCTCTACATGCGTCACTGCATGGGTGCCCACTGAAAATCAGTGCTGGGTAACCTGTACCCTTTTAGCATAGGCATGTTGTCAGTGTCTCTTTTCTAATTCTTCTGTTTCAATTTTTCAACTCTTATATTTATATTACTTCCACTGTCACACCTTGATTGTCTTTTTTATATTTTATTTATTTATTTATTTATTTATAATTTCATATACCTACACCACACAGACAATATTACAAAGGACGACACATTACAAGTATGAGGTACATAGGTACTGCATATCCCTTAAGGGATTTCTTCCTGCAGACCTGCGACAGGAAAAGGAAATTAAATATAAGACACAGTGTAAATGATACATGCAACAGATACAAAACAATATAAAATAACTGAAAGAACTTAAAACTAAAATGACCGGAATATAACAAAATAATAAATAAAATAATTAGAAATATATAAACACGATTACATATAAATATATATATATGTGTATGTATATATAGATAAATATATATATAAATAAAGCTGCACTTCAGGACGAAAGATAATAATCCCTGACAAGTCGTTTAAAAATGGAGATGGACTTTTATTTATGCTGCCTCGTGCCTGGTGCTAAATAAATGTTTTTTCTTTCTTTCTTTCATGACTGTACTACCGTTAGCGTAGCGTGGGACGTCCGCCCACAAGATAGACAGTAGACGAACTGATTAAGGCCGCAGTTATCAGCTCGATGCAGGTCGTTTCCAACCGGCCTATAAGTGTTTTGGGAAACTTTTGTTCAGTATTAGACGTTCTTATGGCTCCGTCTCCTCCACGCCCGCCGCTAGCTATTCGAGCGCCCGCGTGCAATTACCAATCTAATATTGTTTGCGTCGAGTGGGAATTTTTCCTGGCGATGATATTTCTTATGCTTTCTACTTACTTGTTTCACTTGACTACCGGACAAGGGGTCTCGGGTTCGAATCCCGGGTCGAGCAAAGTATTACTGGGTTTTGAAAAATTCTCAGTAGTAGCACGGAGTCTGGAATTGTGCCCGATATATGGCCATAGGCTCACCCCCTATTACATGGGACTCCATAACATAAATAGTGAAAAGTGGGTGTTACATTGTACAGTGGCATAATGTGCACTTCTGCTTACCCCTTCGGGGATAAAAGGCGTAACGTTATGTTATGAAATGAGTCGCTCGATTTGTCGCCACGCCCACGATCGTGCCCTCGTGTGCTGTGCACGCTTTGCACGCCCGCTTACGGCGGGCCTGGTATCCCCCTTCTGCGAAGCAGTCATGCTAGCTAATGAGGAGGCGGGGCGCGTGAATGAACGAAGCTCCTTATGCCCCAGCTGTCGCGAGAGTTGCTGAGCGTCGGGGTTCGAGAGATGATCTCTAGCCACCGTAAGCACGAGCATGCGGACGACGAGCATGGGTGACTCGCCGCCCGACTAGTAGGTACCGTCGCGCGTACCGTAGTGGGAGAAACGACCATTTTGCAGAAAATTGTACCTACTCTGATAGACCATTCTACCTCTATAATATGTCATTTCAAATTCTCAAAGAGAGCTCGATTGCTTTCTCCCTAGTCATTGGTCCAGATTATTCTCAGAACCACATGGCGGACCATGTTTAGTCACTGAACACGGACACGGACGTAAGATGATGATGTTACAAAATTATTCTAATTAATTCACAGGAAAACGGCAGCGAGGAATCAGGAAACATAGCCAAAGGTAACAATTCACCGATAATAATGCCATGGATAGACGCAGCAAATCTTGGTGATAAACAAAACGAGGATATAGACACGTCAGGAGAATCTAATTCAGATGAATATCCCGATTCAGACGAAAGTGATACCGACAGCGAATCGAATTTTTATCATGAAGACGACTACATAAATGACGCAATAAATACAATTGATTTAGCAGAGCTCAAACACTTGAAAGACAAATCCGAACTTTTACGAAAGAGATGGAAATCTTGTCGTAAGACAGCTGCTAAAGTATGCAAGGAAGCGTGCAAAATATCTTACATGAACGCTTGCAGTGAATATGATTGTGAAAAAAAATTAAAGAAAGCAATGAGTAAAGAATGCAAGAGGAATTGCAAGGATATGTTTATGTAATTTACATATAAGTTTAATATTAAAAGTTTTTTTGTATTAGATATGGCCATTATTGGCTATCGTGAGACATATTACATTGATTAGGTATATTGGAATATGGCTTACTCGTGTAACTCAAAAAAGGCTACTCGACTAGTTTCAAGCAATGCTAGGGACCTATCTTCAGCAGCAAACGCTACAATAGGAGCGACCGTTTATTTGCTCATCAGACGGCGCTAATTAATCAAGTACTATTTTTTCTTATTACTGTAGCGTTGTCAAAAATTGTACGTTTAATTTGATACTAGCTAATTCCCTATTGGACGAACGAGAGTACCAGACTAGCGCCATCTAGCTAGCGAAAATACAGTAGCCCCATTGACTGGTTGCTTAGGAAGATTCTAAATTGTATTTAGACCACGGAATATAGATGTATTCTATATTCCGTGATTTAGACATACTTTCATAGGTCCGGTTGTTACCTAATAAATGAGATGATTTGTTCTAAATATTGCATTTACAACTTGGTTTCAAAACGATAAGGTTGAAATGAAAATCTATACATGAGCAAGCAGCAGATTTCGTATTACGATATTATTATTAAATTATGTATCACCTCATCATTATCAACAACCTATAAAAGCCCACTGCTGAGCAAAGCCTCTTCTTACACGGAGGTTTGAGCATTGATCACCACGCTTGCTCAATGCAGGTTGGCAATTACAAACTAATAATTAGAAATTTTAAGCCTAGGTATCCTCACTATGTTTTCTGTATTATTTATCTACATAGATAAGAATATGTAAGTACTAAAGTAATAACTTATATGAACTGTGAAGTTAAAATCATTTTGTTACGTATACATTTGGGTGCTCAGTCATCTAGTATGAACCTTTCGTTTTTCGTCCAATAGGGAAATAGCTAGTGCCATACTATTGGACAATCAATATTTGACAGCTGCAGTGATTGGATAAAAACCTTTTGCTACATTTGTGCCATCTGGTGACCGATGACGAAATAAAACGATATAGAACATTTTATTCGCATTTATTTTATAATACATCGATAAAATACAATATTTATAACTGTGATATAATAACATGTTACACTGTAATTGTTCCAAGATCATTACTTATCGACTCTAACCAACTTTAACAATTAATGTTAATAAATAATTATACAATGGCTAATTTACTAAGTGGTCGACTTATAATCCGCTCATTAATGCACTAAAAAGTTAGAATTTTAGCAGAGTTTCACCTGCTATGAAGAAATGAGTTTTTATTTCATGTTCACGCTATCATAGACAAGTTTATAACACTATATTCTTTTAATATTCTCGTCACAAGATCTTGTCTATGGTTTCACAATGAAAACTTTTTTTAAAGTTGTTAATACATACATAATGACGTACAATGTATTTTTTTAAGTTTCTAAGCGACCTTTTAAACCAACCATTACGTAAAATAGCCATAAGAACTAAACTAAACTTACCAATGTAAATGGCCCAGAAATCTTTGTTTCTGCAATAACCGCTGCGAACGTAATTAAGTACTTAGGTAATAATAAACTTATTATTTAATATTGGTAATACTCTCGGACGGAATGTCAATTGGTAATACATAATTATTTTAAATTATACAATAATTATACAATCTCATGATTATTTCATTTCGTTTTAGTTTATTTATATTATAATAAATTGTGACATAACATAAAACTGATATATTTAATTCAATAATAACACTTATTTTCACAACCTATAAATCTGTCAAAAGGTAAATAGACAAAGATATTCTTTTTTTTATATATATAAATTGATTTAATAAAGGCACTTTTGGAATAAAGATTCGATAAAAGAAAATCTAAAGTACCTAATTTAAATTTTAAAATGAATCTTGGTGTTTGTGGCACTTTTATAAGACACTTTGAAAGAGTAGCCTAACCTTAACTTATATCATTTTAATATATTTATTTTTATTGTAAACTTATCTATATCAGGATTTTATACAATTTGTATTCAAATTACTACCTCAGTGTAGCATAAAAACAGTCACATTTTATAATGTGATCCTTATGTATATGGTTTTAAAGATCATTACAAAAATTAGATCAGTTATTCGGCGAAGCTGATATTTTAACCTAAAGCAGAGTTTATGATTCTTAATTTGTTTCATACAAATCGTTTCATAACTCTTATATCGGTGTCCGTCTGTACACGCCGATTTGACATATCCATTTTAAATTTAGAATTGAAATTGATGTTGCCAGTAACAATAATATTTGACCAATCAATGATCCTGTCTTTTTGCTGAATTAGGGCAGCGATCAAACAATCCGAAACGAATACTGATTTGATCGTAAATTGTAATCTTTAAAACTATTATTTTGACATTTATATTTTACAGTTTCCCGCCACTGGGACTCCTAGAGCTGCTCTTTATTATCGACGTGACAGAAATGTTGCCAGAACTACTGAACTGAGGGGGCGGCGAACGAGGCAAAGAAAACTTAGTATCGGTCAAATTCTCCTGACTCAGTGACTTCTGCGTTGTAAATACCGGTATTTTGGACGAAACGCCGGGAGATACTTTCGATTTCTCCGCTTTTACCGGTATGTTGCTTGGTTTCGCGGAAATTTGCGGTTTTTGTTGTTCAGGTGACCGTAACTGTAGCTGGTCTAGTTGTGACAGTCTCCGGTTTTCAAGATCTGTGCTCGTGACTATGGTGCCCTTAGGAGATTCGTATGTGGCTGTGCGGAATTTAATATGACTGTTCCTTGGTAAGTCGAAGTCCGAATGTCGTTTCTTTGGTTCGTTCGATTGGTTTATTTTCGCTCGTTTTTGTTCGTCAGCTAGTTGCTTAGCTGAGACGTGCCTTTCGTTGAGAATGAAGTCATTCAGCAGTTCAATGTCTAATTCGTAGGATAGCGGGGGTTCTTCGTAAGGCGGTGCTCTTTGTCTGCTAGAAATTTTATCCTTACTTTCCTTCTGTTTCTGCATTTGTTCCGTACGTGGTGTGACTACTTGTATTTCTGTGATGTGATCGTTCTGACTGTCTATCTCTTTGCAATCTTTTTGTACGTCTGTTATCGATGGGTTTATAGAGTATCTTGTTTTGGTGACCTCTACAGAGTCTGCTGTGGATGTCTGCACGTCTTCAAGGTCTTGTATAATTCTAATTCCCATACGTGATAACTCTTCAGGTGACTTTTGAGACATGAAACTCGGATCATTTTTAAGTTTTTCCATCAAGGCTTGTGCTTGTTCCTCATTCATTTCTGTTGTGTTTAGAATGATCGTCTCTGTTCTTGTGTAAGCTGGTTCGTCTGTGGTGAAGTGCATGTTAGGATTTTGTCTCTTGATTTCGTCTAAGACTCTTTTATCAATATCTTTGACATCTCCTTCTTCTAGCTGCATTTCATTTATCTCTCCTCCTCTCATGATACCAAAACTAATCTGTTCTACTTGTAAAGGTGCTTCAGTTTTAGTTGTAATGTACTTTGTGGATATTTTCTCAACATTCTGTGTAATAACTTTGTTGCCAAACTCATCTTCATTAACATTAACAGTTACGGTTTTCTGAACAGGTTCTTGGGTCATCGTTAAGGAGACGCTAGCTGGTTCCATGTATAGCGTCCTCTCCCTCTCATCGTGTCTTCGTCGAATACCTTCCAGAACATCAGGCGGCATCATACGTATAGTAGGCTCACCTATCTCGATAGACTTTGTGTGGTCGCGATACGATTTACGTTTTTCTTCAACGGGTTGAGATTTCTCTGTGGTAATAGTAACGACATTGGTGTTTATATCTTTGGGTTCCGTCCAATCTGAGGAGAAGGTTTCAAGCTTCTTACTGTAATTCAGACTGTTATTGTTCGATCCAATCCTAATGTTACTAACGAAGTCATCATAATCCCTGGCTTTCTCTGTTTGTGATGTTTTCAAGTCAAAGTTTACGATGTCAGGTTGATGCATTGCGGATTTGAATGCGTCTGTCTGTGGTGTTTCTTTACTTGTACTTGCTTCATGCTTCTCTCTCTCAGAACTTTGGTCAATGTGTACGTTCAGTATCGGGTTTTTGGCGAGCAGTTTCTTCATCATATCGGATTTCGGTCTCTCCAAGCTATTCACATAAGTATTACGTGACATCTTCAAATCATCAGGTACATTAGTGTCATACGTCATTGTCAGTTTCTCTTCATATTTAGCTGGTACTGATTTAGGTTCGGTGACGACTGGTACGACTTCTTGCGTACTATCTAAGGAGCTCATGTTGCTTCCATCTGAAGTAGACTTTGCGAATTCTGACACCAGTTTAAGATGAACTTTCATATTTTCATCCATTATCCTTCTTGCAAGATGATCAGACGTTTCATGCTCACTCTCTTTGTAAAGCTCAAAATCTTTAGGCTTAGTAAAGCTAGATTCCTCATTTTTATCAGACTCTACAGAACTAGAAGATCCCTTGACTATAGCGTCTTCTAAATTACCAAATTCCGAACCTTTCTTCAGGCGGTTTCTTTGGAAAGTGTTGAGTCCTTCCATTGCCGATGTTTTAGCAATATTGAGGCTTAATCGAGGTTCCTTGTGTTTGATGATAACACCTTTGTCTGAATCAATCATATCTGGTAGAACATCTTCATTTCCTGAATCAAAGAATGTAGTTTCGACTACCGACATAGCTTTTCTCTTTTTGGGTGATATAGCACTTTCAGGATTTTCGGCGTCCTCAGCTGAGATGTCTAGACTTTGAGCTCTTTCTAGAGTACCTGTGGAAGGCTTGCTAGCTTTGGCTCTTAGTTCGAATCTAGACAAATCACCAAGTGAAGCAGCTTTACGTTCGTTTTCGTCTAAGATGGATGTATCATCTGATACAGAATGCACTGTATCGTTGATTGGTGAACTGTGGATAGTAATGTCACTATTGTTGAGCTCTATTGTTGTTGAGCCTTTGTCACTCTTGTCACTATGGTTCAATGACCTCACCGAATGAACATCTTGGTTTGAAGACATGTTAGACTTTGAATCTTCAAAGAAGTTGTTGAGGGAATCACTTTCACGCCTGAAAGGTTTAGTGACAATATCGTAAATGTCATCTTGACTGAAATTGATAGACTCTTCTAGACGGGTAGACGTGTGGCTC